TCTGTCTTATTTTGATCTGTCAAGAGTTTTTGTTGTTTTGATTTTACTGTTATCTGATGCTACATAGTTAATATTCCTCACATATGTTTTGTCATCATCAAAAAGGGGGAGAATGTTAGGAATAAGGTTTTGATGGTAACAAAGTAAGAAATTTGTGTCTCAGTATGTTGATTGATCATCTGATTGATCAAGGACTTATTGATAAGCTGATAGATAATATCTCTGTACAATCAAGTAACTTAGCAGAAACTTTGATCGGTAACTTGTTAGATAATGTGTTGATCGATCATTGTTAACTTAGTTATGTATAAAAGTATGGAGTAAATTATCGATAACTTGATCGATAATCAAGATGATCGAACATCAGTCAGATAAAGGGATACAAATCTGATAGACATTTATCGATAACATGATCGATAAGCAAATTATCGATGAGAAGATAGATAAATGGTAATGTGCTCTACTCTATGTTTTGTTTTAGTCACTATTTATCGATCACTTTATCGATCAGTCATTTATCGATAATATGATCAAACATTGCTTCATAACACTCTCCGCATGCAGGTACTTATTTCAATAGCTTATCGATCACCTGATCAATCAGCAAATTATCGATCACATGATCGATCATCGATACATCGCTCCTAGTTTATGGTTCTTTGATCATCGGATCAATAAGCAGAGCATCGATAATATGATCGATCACCGCACTTACATGTCTACTTTATTTTTCACATAACGTGATCGATAAATCAGTTCTTTGACTTTATAGGTTTAAACCTCTTTATCGATCACTTGATCGATCATTCATTAATCAATCACCTATTCGATTAATCTACATAGCCTGTGTTTTCACTGAATATACTTTTGCTTATTGTTTATTAATAAGGTTATCCATCATCTATTTATCGATAATGTGTTCGAAAATTATTGCTTTAAACTCTGTTCTATAACACTTTGTTTATCGATAACCTGATCAATCAACAAGTGTTCAATCCCTTGTTCGATCATGGAGCGATTTCAGTTTAAACTTCAACCAGTCACGATGGTTCTCAAAATTTATCATCTATTTCATTTGAGCTTTTCTCAGCCTTCATATTTGTCTTAATTCTCTATTTAAAGAGACTCAAAATCAAAAGCGATCTTGATCTTCTTCTTCTCTACATATCAGTATAAAGTCACTATTTCATTTTATCGATCACTTGATCAATAAATCATTAATTCATCACTTAATCGATAGACTTAGTTATCTGTTTCAAAAGCTCTTACTCTAAATAATCGATAACCTGATTGATCAACCAGTAATCAATCATTACTTCGATCAAGCACGATCAGTTATTACTCAGCACATTTAACAACTGATTGATTCTACCTGTAAACTATGATGTTCATTTTATCATTTGTTTGGTTCTACTTTTGATCTTACTCTACAAAGAAAAACTTATTGAATTAAAGTATTATTGCAGATTGCAAAGAAAAACCTAACGGCTCTCCAATAGTTATCTAAGTAGCCTGTAACCTACCTTATCATAAGCATTAATGGCGGGAACCATTGCAACTGGGAAAACACGCAACCAGACTCTCAACGGCTAGAAGCTCTTCCATCTAGCGGTTACTAAACTACCTCAACTATAAAGGGCGCGAAGAAGCATTAAATGAACAGATTGAATACCCGAGCTACCCTCTGTTGATCATTTACTGTTACATTCAATACTCTGCTCTTCCATACATTGAGTTTTAGTGATTATCATTTATTCACTCTGTAAGAGAGGTTATATCCATCATCATTAATCACGTTCTATGTGAAACTCAAGAGTGTGGACTCTTGAGTGGGATTGTAACCTTATGGGTAGTAAGGGGGAGTGATTGAGAGCATCAATTACTGTACTGCGGCGGCACCAAGAGCCCAATTAATCTTGGAACATAGTGGAATACTCAGAGGTGTTCTGAGGACTGGACATAGGTCAAGTGGTTGAGACCGAACCAGTATAAATTTTGTGTCCACTTTTCTATGATGAAATCTTTCTAACTCACACTCTCTGTTTCCGTTAGTTCATTATTTTAATTTCACAAAATTTTTATAACTCACCCAATTCACCCCCCTCTTGGGTGAGACTGCCACTAACAAACATATGGCTTTTTAACTCAGATTTTTCAGGGAAACTTGTAGAAAGAGGGAGGCCGAATGGAGGTCTATATATTCCCCTTTCCCAAGCCCTTCAATTTTGTTCTTTTGGCACCGTAAAGGGGAAAGTTTTGCTGTAGAAAAACTCATCTTTAATTAGAAAGGAAGAGCACGCAAAAAATAGCAAGAAATTATCAAGCAAAGATTAAGGATTAATCAAGGTATATAAGAGCTTCCATTAGATTTGTTTCTAGCTTGTTTTAAGTAAAGTTTCATGGCCCAAAATCATGAGGAAGATGTTGTCTAGACTTTTGAAATAATAAGAAATGATTAAGGAATGATAGAAACCATGATTAAGAGAGCTTGGATTAGCTTGTTTGGTTGTTGTTTTGATTGATTTTGGAAGAAACTCCAAATTCCCTAAGTTAGGGAACCTATTCAGTCAAGCTTTGTTCAATGGGTTAGAGATTGTTTTACATTAATTTGATAATTCCATTGAGTTTAGAATGTGATTTTGCATAGGAAAATACCAAGAGACATTGGAGTTAAAATGGAATCTCTAACCCTAATATATACACTATTCGGCCAAGGACAGAACAATGGGAAGGAGTTTGATTTTGATAAAACCAAGTTGATATTTGAATTCTATATGAGAAATTGTGTAGGAATAACCCTTGAGACTTGTCAAAACAAAAGTGGAATATTGAAGTCAAAAGTTGGAAAAAAAAAAAGGGTTATAAAATTATTTTGATACCTAATGTATTTTATGACACATTGTTGATAGTTTGGCATATATTCATACATAAATTGTAGGCATTGATCAAAGATACAAAGAGGAGCAAAAAGAAAAAGGAGGAGACCATATACTTGGAATACCAAAGAGGTAGTAATGAAGTTGCAATTTTAATGCTAACTTGCTTTGACATGTGTTGCTTGATTTTTCTATGCCATAATATGGTAGAGCTAGATAGATGATAACGTGCTAATGCTAACTCCACTCATAATGTGCCTTGGCTTTATACAATGTTGAGTGGTATGATGGTATTTTTAGTTGCTCCTTTTGCATGGCATAAGAGCATATCAGTATGCTTGTTATTGTATTAGTGACATATGGCATTCTTGCAATGCATGTTGAGCATGATTATTGTAGTTTTTGTTATTGAGATTTCTATGAAATTTCACTCCCTTTTATGTTTAAATAATCAACAATCTAGAAGTTGTATCATCTAAGGAGAAGGGCGAAAAGATCATTGTGGGATAAGGATGCCTACATGCTTATGTTGTTATGAACTTTTATTTATGCAAGTTTATAATAATTATGTGTGAAGTTTGGATACTTGTATTAATGACCTTGGTGGCTGTAATGGATGGGAAATATTATACTTGAACATGTGATATGTGTATGAGACAAGTATATGATGTCGAGAAAGAAAATAATCAAGAAAAAGTATGAAAATAGTATGAATTAACCCTAATAATGGCCAAATTTCATACCAACGTGATTCTGCTCAATTGAATGAGTTTTGGACTGAAACTTGGCTGATGTAAAGATCATATTTTTAGCTTTAAAACAGGTAGTAATTTATCAAAATTAGAGTTTTGTACAAAAAGTTATGCCTATCCAAAGTTAGGATTAAGTAACTATTTTTTCCATTTTAATTTTACCCATATTCAAAAAATCAATTGAGAAAATAACAATAAATTATATAAAAAAATAACAATAAAGATTAAAAAGTACAATATTAGAAAACCAAGAAGTGTTCCTAGAAGTGGTCCACAAAAAGCTAATGTGGGTGTTTAATCGGCCGAAAAAAGTTATACTCCTTTTGTCCTATTTATAAGTTACTTCTAATATATTTCACACAAGCTAAAAAAACCTTAAATTTCAGTAACTCTCGTTTAAAATCCAATAACTTTATAAATTTATTCCTATTTAATAGATATTATACTTCATGTAAACAAAGTCAATACAATAATAAATAAAAAATAATATTGTACATACATATAAAATTTTTTTCTCACTACCGTATAAATATAACAGAAAAATTTCTTTTCCCTACGCATTACCAGAGGAGTATATTATTAGAGGTGGGGACTATGCAAGCCTTTCTCCCATCAATCACCTTTAATTGTATCATAACTAGTCTTTATTTTTACCATAAATTAAATCACAACTAGTCAAGTTGCGCGCATCAATACAATACAGTACAATGCAAACACGCTAATAATCCAAATTTGAATGGTTGTAATATTTAAAAAGAAAAAAGAAAAATTGCATTAAGGTCCTACTTAAGAGAATTAAATATAAAAAAGTCATTTAAAATCATCAAATTAATCTCTCTAAGGACCTTACTGTAATAGATTTTACTTGTTTAATTACTAAATTGCTCTCATCTTTTTTTTTTTTAAGTATGCATTAACAACTGAAAAAACAGTTATTAATAATATAAGATTTAATGATTAACAACTATCAAGATAGGTATTAACAACCTATGCATTAAATCTTTGTGATGTGCTGAAAAATATGTTATTAATACTTGTTGCGAGTTAACGACTGCCTTTTCAGTTGTCAATACATACTTAAAAAAACAAAAAGATAAGGACAATTTAGCAATTGAACAAGTAGAACTATTGCAATGAGGTCTCTTAGGACTTTAGATTAACTTGATAATTTTAAAGGACTCTTTTGTATTTAATCCTTTTAGGTAGGATCTTAATGCAATTTTCCCAAAAAAAACCTGAAAATCTTTCTGTCACCACATGCGGAAGACAATAAAACAAAGCAACATTGCAAAAATAAAGAAAACAAATCCTAGACGTCAATCTGGTTATATATAATGCGCCTGAAATGTGTTCAGGCCACAAAACTCACGGCCATGGACTTCTTCACAGTACTACTCTCTCTTCTGTTTCCATTTCTCTGGGCATTCCTTCACATATTCATCTCTAACAAAGTCTTCAGATCTTCGAAACGCCTTCCTCCTGGGCCTTCCCCGTTACCAGTAATAGGAAACATCTTAGATGTTGGGAACAATCCTCATCAATCTCTGACTAATCTCTCTAAACGCTATGGACCCATCATGACCCTCAAGCTTGGAACCATAACCACAATAGTCATCTCCACTGTTGCAATGGCCAAAGAAGTTCTTCACACTAATGACTTAGTCTTCTCCAGCAGAACGGTCCCAGACTCTGTCTCTTCTCTCGGCCACGACAGAGTTTCAGTAGTGTGGATATCTGCTTCTGCTAAATGGAGATCTCTCAGAAGAGCTTGCTCCACTGAACTCTTTTCACCTAAGCGGCTAGACTCAACTCAATCTCTTCGTCAAAAGAAGATGCAAGAGCTTCTAGATTTTGTTGAAGAACGATGCAAGAAAGGGGAAGCTGTGGATATTGGTGAGGCCGCTTTTACTACAGCCCTTAACTCTACATCTAACACTTTCTTCTCCCTGGATTTGGCTTATTATAGTTCTGATAGGGCTCAGGAGTTTAAGGACACTATATGGGGTATAATGGAGGAAGCTGGGAGGCCCAATATTGTGGATTATTTTCCCGTGTTTCGTGGACTTGATCCGCAAGGTGTACGAGCCAGGATGGATTATTATTTTGGGAAGCTGCTTAAGTTTTTTGATGGTATTGTGGAGGAGAAACTGCGTTTGAGAAGCTCAAAAGCGGAATCTGAGATCACCAATGATGTGATGGATTCATTCCTAAATCTCCTGATAAATTCTCAGTTGACTCGCGAAGAAGTGCTTCACTTGTTTCTGGATAATTAGTAATTTGGCTTTCTACATTTCTTTCTCTCTTTACAAACTTTCTTAGTCTTCGGTAAACTTCATTTTATTTCCTTTTCATATAAGAAGACCTGAAACTATGAGCTGAACCTCAAATTAATGTGTTCTATAGGATTTATTTGCCGCTGGGATCGACACTACTTCAAGCACCGTGGAATGGGCAATGGCAGAATTTATTCACAACCCAGAAAAACTGGTAAAAACAAAACAAGAACTTCAACATGTTATTGGCAAAAATGGGAAGTTCGAAGAATCAAGAATCTCGGAGTTACCATACTTAAACGCAGTGGTGAAGGAGACTCTTCGCTTGCATCCTCCGGTTCCATTTCTGATACCTCGCAAGTCAGATAACGACGTGCAGATCGGAGGGTTTGTAGTGCCCAAAAATTCACAGATACTTGTGAACGTGTGGGCCATGGGACGAGACTCAAGAGTTTGGAAGGAGCCATATTCCTTTGAACCAGAAAGGTTTTTGGAGGGTCATGATCATCATAAGGTGGATTTCAAAGGTCGAGATTTTGAGTTCATTCCGTTCGGAGCTGGAAGAAGGATTTGTCCTGGATGGCCATTAGCGAATAGGTCGGTGCACTTCATGTTGGTCACTCTTTTGAATAACTTTGATTGGATTCTTGAGGATGATTTGAAGCCGAAAGAGATGGACATGAGTGACAGGTTTGGGTTGACTTTGAAGAAGTCTCAGCCTCTTCATGCTGTGCGTACTAAGCTTAGAACTTAATTGGTGTAGCATATAATGCATTTGATGTTCATTAAAACGAATAACTAATTGAATCAGATGTTATTTGGAATGTATTGATCCTTTCCTTTGCAGATTAATCTCATAACAGTAAGAAGTTGATAGTTTTGTGACGAGGATCAGATCTGCTGCTTAGATAAAAATAATTAACATCGTACAGTGTTCGATCACCTTGAAATTTTAAATTCCGTTTTCTAATTGAAATTTTATCATAAATTTTCGGGGAAAAGAACTAATATGTATAATACTATACAGGGAGCGTAACGTGTCTGCTAACTTCTCTCTCCACTTAATGTTTTTATCATTAGACTAAATTAAATGGCTGAGGTTTACTTCATAAGAATGTTATTAAAATATTAAAAATTAAATAATAACAAGTAGACATAAATTTATACTGTTAAAATTTGATATAAGTAGTTTAAAATGATAAATTTTTATTATACTTAATATTATAATAATATTTTTACTTAGTTTTAAATCTCAATCATTACATTTCCGTCTTATCAAAAAAAAAAAATCTCAGCCACTAAGTGTATATTTGGCTCAATGAGAGGAAGGGAAGGGGAGGGATTTTAATGGAAGGAAGGGGAGAGGAGGAGAGTGAAAGGATTTTAATATTATCTTGTTTAGATTTATAAAAAAAGAGGGGAGGGGAGGGAAAAATATTTTAATATGGACAAATTTGTTCTTATTTTATTTAAAATATGGGCATAATGGTCATAACATGACAAAATATGGGCATAATGATCACAACATGGCAAAATATTGCCCTTCTCCTCCAAATCCTCCTAATTTTGGAGGGGCAGTTGAGGAGGGGAGGGGAAGGAAAATTTTAAAAAATTTTCCCTCCCCTCCTAAAATTTGTGTGTTGTCAAATAAGGGAAAATGATTAAAATCCCTCCCCTCCCCTCCCTCCCAAATCCCTCATACCAAACACACCCTAAAACTCAATCCAATAATAGAGAAATTAAGTGGAGAAGAAGTGAGGAGGGAAGTTAGTGGTATCACTCTTCTCCCCAACATATCCTTATAATTTTATCTCATTTTAGTTAAGTCCTTGTCATGTTTTTTTTTTTTCCCTATTGGATCCTTTTAGTCTTTTTTGACCTGGAGCCCTAGTCTTCTCAATTATAGTTATTAGTCTTTATACTTATAATTTTTTATTGGATTAAATGTGGAGAGAAATTTTCTCCCTGTCACATATTTTATGGTTTCTCTCACTTGTACCAGCACTAACAGTGACTTCTCTTCCGAAACTAATTTTAGTGCTCATCCTTTTGATGAGCATTATAAGCTCTCATCATATCTAAATCATCCATATCTCATCTGAATGATTCATATTTGATTTTTTTATTTTTACTTATCCAAAATAATTATTTAATATGTATAGAATCTAAAATAGTGATTGTAACAATGAAACTACTACACTTTTAAATTAATCAATATTGAAAAGTTAACCATGATAGAAAAGAAATTTTGTAAAAATATTTAGAAATACTATCATGGTTATATAAACATCCTAAATCATATGAGATTAACCATGATAGAAAAAGAGTTAAACCAATCCATAAATATGTCTATCATGGTTAAAAGAACTTTTCTAAATTAACTGCGTGCAAAACGATATTCACAATGGATAGGGCTTGAGGTATTATGAATCCAGAATATCATTTTCAACCATAAGTACATAACACGATTTTACTAAATAGTACCTTTCATAACTTTCAAAAAAATCAAAAGTCATTTGATGTCAAAGATCATTGTGGATTCACCACTCATATTAAACAAAAGAAATCACATGCAAATACCTAAAGGCCTCCGGCCTTTTACCAGCATACAGTCCAGTAACAGTTATCAAAAGTACACTGTCAAAATAATCAATCTCAAACATATCAGAGTATGTGGAATGGCCCTATCATGGCAATATACATCTATCCAACACAATCAAAAGAGTGGAAGCGCTACAATTTTGCAATAGCAGCTCAAGCTTCCGAAGCCTTCCCTGACTGACCCGAATGGGAACTATCACTTGGAAAAGTGTTAAATCAATGGGGTGAGACAAAAGTCTCAGTAACCAACAATCCTACTTATTAAGCATACAAGTAAGTGCTCGTGACGTGTCAAGTGAGACAATTGCAAATTCATAGTATTCCAACAAATTTCATATGGTCAAAGCATATAAAAAGTACAACCAATAATCTTTTCACCTCCCTTATATCCACCCACCTTATATCCTCTGACTAAACCCATGGGCTAAATCCTCATCCATGTGACTAGTAATTAGACAAGCTCACCGATCAAGTGATATGGACCGGCCAAAATCCACAGAGCGTAAGACCAGACCATGGGTTCCCCCTCTAGTCTACTAGTAGGGTGTCAATGCCCTACAATGAACAATTGGGCCAAAGGACCAATCAGTGTACACCTGATGGCCCTACCACCTTATATCCTCAAATGTACATAATTCACCCCCTTATATCCTCTTTGTTATAGTACCCATCATCAACATCCGCCACCCCTCATATATCAACACTCAAAATATTCCATTCATAATAAATCATCAACATGTAAAAATTAATTTGGATTTTCCATTTTTCAATTAACTCATAATACCTGAGATCATCATAATAGTAAACATATATCTTTTGCAACAAAAGTCTCACAAGACAATTTCAATAATAACATACTTTCATAGCTCACATCATAATTCAATAATATTTCATAAATTCCTTATAATTCAAAATTAATCACAAACAACCTACCAACATGAATAATAAGTGGAAAGTGATTACCTCTTATCTAGAACAAGTATTACCACAAGGTTGACCCCGTGCTCACATCAATAGCCTAATAATTTAATTTACACAACCAATACATTTACATATCAATACACAAGTTATTTAATTAATTACTTAAACTAAAACATATATATAAGTTAAAGTTTCTAATTCTATGCTAAACCCAAACCTCTCATAACCCATAATTAAGTCTTTTAGCACAAAATTTATATATCCCCACAATCCAAAATTTTCATTTAAACCTTTCAAAGTATTTACTTTAATACAGATTTTTCTCAAATTTTTAAATATGAAATTATCATATTTAAAATTCAAAAATCCTATTTTAACTTTAAATCTCAAAAACCAACCATTATAAATTCAATATACATCAAATGCATCTAAGTAAATAATTTAATCAACAGTTTCATAGTATAAATATCATATTTTTCATAAATAAATATCTGTTTAACCAAAATAATTCATTTAAAAATATTAGGTCAGTCAATAAATAAAACTAAACTGATAGAAATGATTTACTAAAATAGCTCTACAATACTATACTCACCTATCATCAAAACTCAATACTTGCTTCAAATCCTAAACCTAAAAATTATCTCTAAACAGTATAAAACTACTATCATTAGATAGATTTAGATGAGTGGAAAAACTTTCATGAAGAGGGTTTAATGAAAAGAAGTCATTTGGCTTACCAAAATGATCTGCAAAGTTGAAATCCCATTGGAAAAAAATGAGAGAACGCGCCGGAGAAGAAGGTGAAAAAGAAAGACGTCGAAATGTTTCTCTCTCTGGCCCCACCAACGGTTAAAATAATATTTTGGCATAAATTCCAGTTAAAGACCCCATATTAAAATGGGACAACATTATAGTTTGCCACCCCTTTTTTTCCATTTCTTTTTTTTAATCCGTTTTATTATTATTATTATTCAGTAATTTCCATATATATATATTTTATAAATCTTATTTTCAATAATTCTCTTTTCTTAAATAATTAGAGAATAAAACTCATTTATTAAGCATTAAACTCCTTCTAAACTTAATTAAACACTAGGAATAAAAAAAATTGGGATGTTACAGTGATGATCTCTTAATTATTATTCTTTCAAAAAATAGTTTTCTCTATTTAAAAATAATTAATTAAAGATTTTAAATCTGGACCGTTCAAATCAGATATAGACGATCTATATCAGATGAGGTTAGGGTACTAATAAAAGTGATAAGCACCGAAACTGGTTCCCTTCCTAGAGACGGTAGAGGGAGGCACCTTCAGATTGACCATTAGCCACTGTAGTTTCTCAGCTTATTGTGGTGGATAATCTCCCTTCATCTTTATATGGGTGTGGGGAGGAGATAGCATCAACTTCTTCTTTTCTCTCTTTCTTCTTTCTTTTCCAACACTGAAATTGCTTCTCATTTTCATAGCGCATTACTTTCTTTTATTTTCTGTAATTAATTTCACCTTGCCTTCCGTCGTGCAGTGAAATTTCAGAATATTTTAGAGTCTATTTAAGATAAATTGGCTACTATGATCCTTAATTGAAATTTTCCCTTCTTTTAATCCCCAATCTTACAAAGTGTATTTACAATATTTCAGCCTGTTAAAGTCAATAGTAGTACTTCTTAAAATTAAGAAATCACGGTGAGTCATAGGCTGTTGTTGACGCGACGTATCATGTTTGAAGCTGCCTTTTACCGAATTGTACATATACAAAGAGACATTGTAGTGTGAGGATGGCAAAAGGAAAAATTATAGCATGGAGTTTTATTTTATCATTATTTAACAATGGAACGACTTCAAGCGCTCATAATATACAGAGTTAAATTCGTATGGCCTCATAATTAAAACAAACTTAAGAAGTGTTTAGTATTAGTAGGTTACAAGTAAAATTAGTAAAATGAGTTGCAACCCATTAACCTGCCATAAAAAGGTGGGTTAGTGTTGATGTTTTACCAACCTACCAAAGTGTAGGTTACTCTAACCCCTACCGCTTAACCTGCGGGTCAGAACTAGTAATCTCGCAGTTTGGACGGCTAGCCTACCTAAACCACCACATCTTTTTTTTTTCCTTAAAAAAGAAAGGAAATTGATGTAAATAATATATTATTATATTTGAAAATTTTTTTCCCATCTACATTTTAACTTTCATGTTACATATCTAGAAAATATTTTTAAAAAAATTAACATACTTTGTTTATAAAAAGAATTGACAACAAATACAAAAAATATAAGATAATATTTATCATAAAAAAAGATTTTTAGAAAGAAAAATG